TTCCAGGGCAAGGGACGGTAGGGAAAACCAATGAAACTAAATTAGATTGTGCAAGGGACCAGCAGTTAGTGTAATGGCCATGTCACTGGACTCCTATGTAGTCAACTACAGTTCAAGTCCTGGACCCGGTGACTTAAACTCATGCCGGGTGCATATGCGTGTGTGCCCAAGATCCCAAGAGGAGAATGGAGGAGAAGGGATTGTGGTGTGGCCATCCCCCCAGGAGGTGATTTATTGCTTTCTGTTTCTCTATCTCTCTCTGTCTTTGTGGTGAGTCCATGTGCCCTATAGGAAAAACCTTTTCAAAAAAACCCAAAAAAACAAAAAAACAAAAAAGAAAGGCAGAGGTTTCAAGGTTTCAATTCCTTAGGAGTTGTAAGCCATTACTGTGTTATTATGAGAAGCTGACCCCTGAGGAGGGCAGAGAGTAATTCAGTGAAATCTCCAAGTCATGCATATAGCCATGGCTAACATCGCACACCTCACAGACAGTTAATACCTCCAGGGTCAGTGAGGACGTATGCTGGGCCTGCAGTTCAAAGTGCTGAGTCCATTCATGTGCATGTCATATAAAATGTTGGAGTTGAATCAAGGAAAGGGCAGACTGGGAAATGTGGTTTTTCGGTTGTTCAGGTAGTGCTGTCTTGGCCGGATTATATACCCAGTGTGGGTTTTTTGTTTGTAAGAGGACATGGAAGCTACTTTGTCCGACAGAAATGTGGACACTGGCACATTCAAGTCAGCGTGTTGGTATTCTCAGGAAGGGGCACAGGGGTCAAGGAAGGAAGGGTGCCACGAAGCCAGAGGAAAGCCCACTTCAGGGAAATGAGGGGGCCTTTCTTCTTCCTTCTAGCTCCCCAGGACTGAGGAAGTTCAGGATCTGCCTCCCCCAGCTCTAATGGGATGCTGATGACTTTGAACACAAGCACTTAGGGAACAGCAGAATCAGGCAGAGGCTTACTCTGGGCTCCTTTATCTGTCCAAAGATGGGTTCTCCAAAAGGAACTCAATTTTCATGAATTTTCCCTTTCTAGGAATTTTATCAGAGATCAACTCAAATCCAAGGAGAGGAAATGGGAGGTTGACGCCACAACTTGGCAATCACCTCTCCTTGGAGGGCCACTCCAAGACACCTTTCATTACTCTGAGACATTTCATTTACACTTTCTTCCCTCCCCCTCCTGTAACTTGGGCCACTCCCCAACTCTCTAGAAACCCCAAGTTCCTACTCCAACCTAAGCTCAGGGCTGAGAGATAAGCTTCAACCATCTGACCCTTCTTTGAGTCTCTTATTTTGCAGGACTCCTGCATGTACATAAGTAATTAGAGTTTTTGTCCTATTGATCTCTTTTGATTCATTATAATTCCTCAGTCAAGGAACCTAGAGGTCAAGGAAAGCCATTTGTGTTTCCCTACGGAGCTCTGTGGAGCTGCACGCCTGGCAGGTGTGCTGCTGAGCAGTTGGGGAGTAGCCAGGGCTGCAGGACTGCACTGAATGCATTCTGCTATTTTTTTTTTTAAAGAATTATTTATTCAATTTTATTTATGCATTCATTCATTTAAATTTGACCACAGAGAGGCAGAGAGAGAGAGCAAGAGAGTGAGAAAGCAAGCCACTGGGTCTGGGATTCAAACTGTGGTTGGCCATGTGGGAATGTCCAGCGTCTCAGCCACCACGCCACCTGCTGGTCCCCCTGACATCTTTGTTATTAGATGTCGAATTGGGCATTTCCCAGCGAGGTCATTTTTTTTAAAAGAGAGATTTTTGCCATAGGGTACATGCACTTGCTGGAGAGACAGAGAGACAGAAAGTGAGAAATCACTTCGGCGGGGTGGTGGGTGGCCATGGCACAATCCTTTGTACTCCATTCTTCCCTTGGGATTTTGGGCATACATACACACACACACACGCACACACACACACACACACGAACACATGCCTGGTGTGAGTTTCAAACTGCCAGGTCCGATTTGCAAACGTGGTTGGCCATGTAAGAGTCCAGAGGCATAACCACGGCACCATCTGCTGGTCCCACAGAGCCATTTTTTATCAGCAAGGTAACAGAGCATAAAAGCCATCTGGTGTCTTCCCTCGGTTCCTCCATTGGCAGGTATCTGTGGAGTAACAACCACATGTACACACTGGGTAAAGGGAAGAGATAAAGATCAGGGCTGGTAGATGGCATGGTGGCTAAAGGCACTGGATTCCCACATGGTCGACTGTGGTTCGAGTCCCAGACCTGGCAGCTTGCTTTTCTGCTTTCCCTTTCTTTCTTTGGTCAAATTAAAAATGAATAATAACAAATGGAATTCAATAAATAAATAATTCTTTTAAAAAAAAGAGATGAAGGAAAAGACAAGAGCACAAGTCCCGCTGAATTTTCCATTGTATAACTGGGACCCTGTGTGTGGGGGATAAAAAGGATAAGGCACTTTATTAAATATGAATGAGTATAACTTGTCTCCAATAATCTTCTTTGAACTGTAATTCTGTAAGAGATGTTAAATAACCCATAGAGGGGCCACCCATTTTCTAATGTTCAAACATGGTAAATCACCAGTTAGCTTGAATCTCTGCTAATTACATAATCAGTAAGGCTCCATCCTCCTGCCGTCTGGAAATCGTTTTGGGAAAAAGAAAAAGTGACCAGGAGGAGCTCATTCTTTCTTTGATTTTTGATTTGTTTCCCATGTATTTTTTGACTACACTTATGGTTTTAGTTATTTTTACTTTTTTCTCTGTTTTGGAAGAATTATTGAAGTAATCACAAGGGCCAACAGGTGGCATAGTGGCTAAAGTACTGGAGTCCCACATGGCCAACTGCAGGTCGTGTCCAGACCAGATGGCTTGAAAATCGTGCCAGGCACATGTACATGCATGCCCAAAATCCCAGGAGGAGACTGGGGGAGAAGGGACTGCGGTGTGGCCATCCCTCCTGGGGGGTGATTTCTCACTTTCCTCTCTCTGTCTCTTTCTTCTTGGGTGAATGTATGCAACCTTTAAACAAAAATCTAAAAAAGATAAAGAAGTAATTTCCATTCTATATGTTTACCATTCAGGAAAGTGCAAGCAGAGGGGGAAAAGTGCAGTATTTAGGATAAAATTCTTTTTTTTTTTTCTGGTAAGTAGAATCAATTTTGGAAACTCACTTAGAGCTGGTTCAGCCTTGTTTGCCAAGCACCTTTGACCCTCCATCAGTATTTACATAGAAACAATTAGTGTAGTTAATCAGCTAATTTGGTGTCTTCACTGGGAAGACCTTGATTGAGTGATTCAGTCATCCTCAATCTTGATTGACTATTGTTAGTAAACTTTAGCAAATAAGTATTTTTGGCATGCCAGCTTTCGTCCTGGCCCTCCACAGCAAGCTTGATGTACAGACGTTTTCTTGGGTCCACTATTTACAAACGTTTTTTTCTCTCCTTTCACTATAGGTCTGTAGAAGATGAAGAGAGACCTTTTGCACTGGGAATGCAGTTTGTTTTACTGCGAACACTTGGTACGTACCTGAATTTCCACACGTACCTCTTGGTTCCTCTTCCCAGATGGTCAGTTCTCACTGTCCTTTAAAAATGACATGGCAAGTCCGTTATTACCGTTAGTGGCTAGGATTTTACCGGCTCGTGGTAAGGGCATAACTTCCTTATTTTCTGACTTGCACTAAAAGATGACAAGTTCTGTCATTTGATGAAACAAAACAGAAGTGGCAGGGTTAGTTCTTTTCCACTGCAAACATAAATGTGGACAAAATTCCCCAGAAAGTTTTTGAGGAAGAAATATTAAGTCAAGCAATTTGTAATGGGTTTGTTATCCTGATATTTTGCTTCCTTTGTATCTTTATGAACAGGAGAGAAATTGGTGGTCATTTTATTTTTGAAAATTTTAATTCCTTACCCTTTATAGGAATAGTACTGTTCTGAGCAAAGAGTAGTGTCTATCAAGTTTTCTGAGAGAAAACAAGAAAAATCTCCAAAGCAACATGTAGGAATTATATCATACAAGGGAATTTCTTAAAGGTTGTGGAAAAAGGAATGATACGAGTTTATTTTGATGTAAAAAAATTGTAGAATCTATGCATAATTTTTTCATTATGTGCATTGTCCTTGAAGATCCCCAGGAAAGCTTTATTCAACATTAGGAGGAGCTCATTCCTGAAAAATGCTGGATCAATGAGCCAGACCAGAATTCACTTGTGTCTGAAGACCATGGCTCTTATTTTCACAAATGGTGCCTTACCTCAGGGAGTCTTGGGACGATGAGTGGGAGAGGAGAGTGCGAAAGAGCCTATTCTCTTGATCAGTCTCAATGTACTTTTAATTGACTTCCTCGCCATCAAGCTTATTTTTCCTTTCATAAGTGGCCGTCTATTGTTTTATTCAGCTGTTGTTTCCTAGCTCGTAATCAGTATCATTGTCCGTAAAACCAAAACCAACAAACAAACAAAAATCATTTTTTGATTCAGATTTCTTCAGTTTTGAAGGGTGAGACATTTAAAAAGGGCGTTGTCTGACCCTTTGAAGCTCGAATCCTCTCTGGAATTCTGTTGTCATGGGTCATGGTGGATGGCTCAGTCCAAGAATGAGCACTATCAGTAAACCCGGGATGGAAACCGATTTTAACAGGTGGCTTGTTTTGGGTTCTAATAAGAGTTTGAAGGCACCATTTTTAACAGGAATGTTAGTTAAAGGAAATTATGACGCATTTAGATATAGTTGAGTTTGCCTCATACTTCTTGTCAAAAACTAAAAAGTGTTATGTTCAAAGAAAGAAATTTGCTAACCACAGGGATGGCTGACTAGGAAAAGAAAACCAATAATTCCTTTTGGCAACACTCCCTCTGATGCCATCATATGAATTCGGAGGTGGGGGTGAGCAGATGTACTCTGTGGTATCAGGAATAGGTGGAGGGAGAACATTTCAGACAGTAAATACTTAATTCACCTTTATCTTAACTGCTGTTTTGTTTATAGACATTTATTTACTTATTTAATGTATTTTTTTTGTCATGCTTTTCTAAGCCACTGGGTCCAGGACTTGAGCCACAATTGGCTATTTGGGAATCCAGTGCCTTACTCACTATGCCACCTGCTGACCTGTAAAGTAGAGTTAGACTGACAAGCCGATTTCCATGTTTTTAAAATTACAGAGCAAACAGAGTTTTAAATATTTTAATAATGTCAAAATGTAATTGTAGCGACAGACCTTGTTTTAAATAAATACGACATATTTAAAAATGTATCATTCACAGCCTCCTGGACTATGACTTCATCTGTCTTCTCTTTCTCTCCCTTCTTCCCTTCCTGCTCTGTTCCCTCCCTCACATCTCTTCTTTCTATACACTCTTTAATTTTTTTCTTTTTTTTTGAGAGAGAGAGAGATTTTTGCTATAGGGTGCGTTTGCTCCCCTGAGAGACAGAGAGACAGAAAGCGAGAAATCAACCCCTGGGGGATGGCCATGCCACTATTTCTTCTCCTCTGTTCTCCACTCGAGATTTTGGGCATGCATGCACACATGCCCGGCATGAGTTTTAAGCCACCAGGCCTGGTACTCGAACCATAGTTAACTACATGGGAGTCCAGCGACATAATCATTACACTCTCTGCTGGTCCCTCTATACACTCTTATTGAGGATGTCCGGGCTGTCCTGGTAGGCTGTTGGCATGCAAGAAATAAAAGGCCTGGTCCCCTCCTGCAAAGAGCTGTAGGGTGACAGATTTGCCAACAGTTTAAATCCCATATGACAGTTAATAAATTGAAGGTATATACAAAATGCAGTGAGAGGTCCGGCAGATGGCATACTGGTTATGTCGCTGGACTCCCACGTAGTCGACCGTGGTTTGAGTCCTGGACCTGGCAGCTTAAAACTCATGCCAGATACCTGTGTGTACACTCAAAATTCTGAGAGGAGAATGGAGAAGGGATTGCTGTGTGGCCATCCCCCCAAGGGGTGATTTCTCACTTTCTGCCTCTCTGTATCTCTCTGGTGAGTGTACACACCCTATAGCAAAAATTGCTCTTAAAAAAAAAATGCAGTGAGAATAGGGTGGCGTCCAAGTGAGTCAGGAATATGAAGGAGGGGTAGATATTTGCAAGGTGAACAAGCTGGGAGTGGGGGCACATTTTGGCAAAGAGAGTATCCTGTGACAAAGGAAGTCTATTGGGTAGACTTTCTTATGGGATTAAAGGAAGGACTATTAAATGCCATAGCTCAAATAACAAAGCCACTGCTCATCCCAAATGTTTCATAAGCTTCAAAGGTGAATTTTATTCCACAATTATTTCCATACTCCAATGATTCTGTACAGTTGCCGTTTGATGTGGTTCCTGACTGACAGGAGCCAATCCTCTTCTCACACTCTTCATGCACTCAGAGACTGGAACCCAGCCCACAAGAACCAAGCGTGCTGAAATTCAATGGACAATGAAGGGTTCTATTGTAGTATGGTCTCTTGAGTATTTATTGACAAAATCTGATTTTTTTTTTAAGTTTAAAAGGGTTCTCTATGTGCACTTTCATCAAAAACATGTATTTTCAAATAAATAAAATTGTATCTATTTAAAGTGTACAGTATGATGACTTGAGATACACACACACACTAGACATTTTTATGATTCTAAAAGTCAGTAACACATCTGAGCTGCAAACTGCAAGACTTTAAGTGTTTATCATTTAGTGACTATTTTTGTAACATATACATCGTGAAAAAAGGTGACCTATTTCTTTGGGTTGGTCCTGTGGCCTGGTGGTTAAGGGAGCCAGATTTTACATGGCCATCTGGGTGGTTCATATCCCAGACCCTGAAGCTTGAAAAGGGGAAGCTTGAAAAACATGCCAGGCACGCGTGCATGTGTGCCCCAGACCCTGACAGGGTGGAGAAACGGAGGAGAGAGGATTACAGCCCGACCACGCCCCACTGGCAGATGGTTTCCCTGCTTTTGTCTTTCTCTCTCTCTCCAAAAAAAGGGGGGAAAAATAGTGACCTAGCTTGACAAAGAAATCAACCAGAAAAGAAGCCACTCTGACTAGTTTTAGAGCCCACAAGCACCTTGATCATTTACACATTTGTTTTCTCTCCACTTCCTACTTTTCTTTCTGTCCCCCACTCCAGCGTACATCCCTACCCCCATTTACTTCGGAGCGGTTATTGACACGACCTGCATGCTCTGGCAACAGGAGTGCGGTGTGCAGGGCTCCTGCTGGGAGTACAACGTGACATCCTTCCGATTTGTCTATTTCGGTTTGGCGGCTGGCCTCAAATTCCTTGGCTTTATTTTTATTTTTCTGGCCTGGTACTCCATCAAATACAAGGAAGACGGACTGCAGAGGCAGAGGTGGAGAGAATTCCCTCTGAGCACTGTGAGCGAGAGAGTGACCCGTCCCGACAGTGCCGACAAGCACGCCCGGACTAGATCCTGCCCGGCTTTCAGCACCCAGGGAGAGCTGCAGGAAGAGACGGGCCTGCAAAAAGGGACCCAATGCACAGCACAGACCTATGCGGGGCCCTTCCCTGAAGCAATAAGTTCCACTGCAGACCCAGGGCTGGAAGAGAGCCCGGCGACCATGTAGCCTCCCTCCTGAAGCTTGAACCTGGAAGACTTCCGTTTTGTTGGTTGAATTGACTATGGCGACTTGAGAAACACCCGTGCCTTCTTTTCTTTCTTTCGAAAACCAACAAAACTCAGTATACACAGCCACTACTGATTGAGGGCTGGATACCTCAACAAGACTGAGAGCCTTTTCCTTCTTCTAAGAAAGAGGAGTTTAGATAAATTCCTTGCCGTTCCCGGATGTTAATTTAACGCTCACGCTCCAGTAGGGTCTAAGGCGGAAGGACATGGTAAACACAGTCCCGGGGCGGGTAAAGGCGGTGCATATCATTAGCATACACTCCAAACCAAGAGAAGGGAGCTTGACCGTGACTTTGCATTTACACATCAAAGTTTTTAGCTATGAACACCTACTGTGAGTTCTGCTACAAAGCACAAATGAATTTGTCTCAACTATGCAATTTGTTAGGAAAAAAACGTAAGTGCAGCATGTTAATTTTGCTTTCAGAGAATAAAGCAGATCTGTTTTTGGAAAGAGGAAGCTAAACTTACCCTAAAGTACTGTTAATAGCATTTCAAGCCATAGCAGAGTTATCAATCAGGTAGAATTTTTCAAATGCGTCAAAGGAACTATATACCTAACGTGATAAAAGGAAGAGCTACTTTCTTGCTCTCCTAAGACACATTTTCTTTTAGTCTGTCTGCCCCATCATAAGGTAGTTAAAGAGGCTGCTGGACCATAAATAGGAGAGCTTGAATATAAACTCCAGTATTTTTTCATAAGGAGCTTTAAAAGTAGTGCGCTAAATAATATGGTTGGAAATTGTCTTTTGAGATGCATATTAAGGAAAGAAACTGATGGCTTACTCATCCGAGCAAATTGCTACAGACATTTTTTTTTTGGCTCGTAAAGGCCCACAGAAAGATAGTTAAGAATGGTAACCTTGACACTCAAAGTGGTTGGAAAAAGAAATTCCAGAGACGTCAGACTGAGTTCCACCTTAGTATTTTGGTTGTATCTTGGAAGCACTGGTCAATCTGTATATTCTGTACAGAAAATTGCTGCAGTTGCTCCTGGTAGTGAGTAATTAAATTAGAAAAGCTGTACCTGGGAGAGGAAAATCTCTTTAAATACAAGAGGAAGGAGACCTATGAGCTGGACCCAGAATATAATCTTCCGTTATGATTGAAAATGATTTAAAATGGGCCTGTCATATAAAATCCTACTTTATCAGAGTTAGGATCATTTCCTACCCCCCTGTGATGCCTTCCTACTGTAATCTTCTCGCAGTAATCGGGATAGGAATTTTCTGGCCTAAATTGCCTTGTGCACATTAGCCATCATTCTCTCCCATATGTCCCAGCACATCACTTTGACGTGAATGGCACATGGAATGCTTTCTACATGGTTCATAAAACATGCCTCCTGACAGCTCTCACAAGCTGACAGCAAGTGAACTCCCGGGATCTGGCCAAAGGGGACCGTAAGGTCCAGATACCGACACAGTATAATTGTGCAGTCTCACTGTCTCTGCCAAGGAGCCTGTGCCCTGTAGGATTAATTTGGGAAATAATTTACTTGTCTGGCTTACCTTCTACCACAGAAGAGATGTGACTGACAGACTGTCCCATGATTCAGGCTTTTCATCCTCCATTCTTGTTTGGCTGCACGGGTGGAGTTATATGAACACTCCCGGGTACAGGATGGCTTTCCTGTCTACCTAGGAATGGCATTAGTCAAATGGTCTTCTTGCTCGCCCGTAGTTTGTGGAGAGGGTTGCCCGTAGTTTGTGGAGAGGGTTATCGCTATTAGACTGAGTAATGTCCATGAAGGGTGGAACTAGTGGTATCAGGTAACAAGGACTTACCTTTAGCCCTTAGGGACAGCTCTCAGGGAGGTGAGCAGTCTTGCTTGGCTAAGACTGTGACTGCATTGGCATCCGTCAGACTTTGGTCAATGTAGTGTACATTGAAGGTTTTCTGAAAACACTTCATTAACTTAGTGTCTACTCTGGGGCCTTGGAATTTCTCTTTGGCCTCTGTGTGACACCTTTGATCCTGTAGAATAGAAAGTTTCCTTTAGTGTTGAGCTAAAGCTGTGTAGGTTGAAAAAGGTTGGTGTTTTAATTCTCCTTTGATTGGTAAAATACTGCACTGAAAGAATTTCAGTGGGGTTGGTACTTTTTATTGGTAGAGATTCCTAAGATTGCTGGAACTCCCCAGGGGAGTCCAATTAAACAATTAAGGAGGCTTTCCTCCCTAGCCTCTACTTTCAACAGTCATCCAGCTCTGCATTCACTCACTGGGCACCAGTTGTCTGTCAGGTACCATTCCACCTGCTTTCAGTCTGCCACTCCACGAAATCCTCAACGGTGATTAGGCCATAGCTCAAAGGAATTGGCCTGACATGTGCACCATAATGTCAATATTGTACTTCCTCAAGTATCTGATATTTATAAATAGCAGATGTATCATTAATGTGTTGTTGGTGAATGTAGAATAAGTAGTAAAAATCATGAGAGAATAAAGTTTTGGAATATATCCCAATTAAGAGTTGTTCCCCAAATACATTGGGCTCTGGTAGCATGGTTGGAATATTACATAGCCTACTAAATGACTTAAATGTTGTTTAAGTATATAGATAAGGTCTTATATATTTGTTAAGGGATCGGTCATGGAACTTTATAGTCACAGCTTCTATTGTAAGTTTTAATCGTCACTCTTCATGAGCTTGGGCTTTGAATTCTTGTTTTGACAAAAGGTCATTCTATTCTTTTAAAAACTCCCTATAATGTATTGCTTGGCTTTAATGTGCAAATATAAATTCTTTGAGTCCAGCCTATTAATTTAGAAATTCCCAGGGGATGGGATGGGTAGTTTGAAATACATTCTTTTGGTTATCTTCATCAGCATGAAATCCTTATTTTTTGTAGGCAAATTTAATCCTTGAAAGTAGTTAAAAGTCATTCAGAAATAAGGTGGTAAAAGAGGGGGAGGAGAAATGAAGAGGAAACAGATTAGCATTTGTTCAGTGTTAACTATCTGCAAAGCATTTGTCAAGCGGTTAATAGATATCATTCCTTTTAAACCCTTTAAGAGTCTTGCAAAGATTTTTATTCATTTAAAAAATAGATATGAATGAAACTGAGGGTCAGAGGATTAAAGTAACTTATTTAAGATTGGACAGCGTGGCACTCAAGGTTTAGATGTAGATATCCCTGACACTATTAATCATGTCTTATACTACACAATATGGACAAACGTTTTAATTAACAAAGGCAAGATTTAAGTTTAAAATAGAGAGTTTAAAGCATATAATTTTGATGTTTTACTGTTTATGAAGAGAAGTTATTTCTTTGTATGAATAGAAAAAACTGTAGGAATCATGTGTAGGAAACATCGACATTTAATGCTTAACTAGATTTTCAAGGTAAATGTCCATTTATTTAGCTAAGTGTTAAGAATTGCTTGTCATTACATACCTCAAATATTTATTTATAGTTCATATTTAAGACAGAACAAATCCAACTTTTGTGTTCACATCGAGTTTCAGCAGAGGTTCTGAAATGAAACATGAAGAAAAGTAGTTTAGATTTATTAAATCTGAGCTTTGGGAATTTCAGGAGATATATTTTTTTTCAGAATATTAGCATTCTCATTTGTTTTTCTGGTGAATCTGAGTGTTAAGATTCCTCATAAAGATTTTAAATAAATGCATACAAAATACATACCAAACCACTGACCTCAATTGTTACCTTTAGTAGCTGTGACAACAAACTGCAGCACTTGGAAATGTCAGCCTTTAGAGAAGGGAGTTACCTGGAGTAGGGCCGGTGGAGGAAATGGCAGTCCTACATTGTCACCAGCCAACCACCAAGAAAACTCTTCTTCAGTCTGCAATTCCAGCTTGCATTCTTTGGTAGATCTGGAGCCAGAAGTTTCTTTTTGGAGCCTATTTTGTAGCAACCATATATGCGCCAGAGAGAAGCTTTAGCGTGTGGATGGACCTGAAGCATTCGTGTGAATTCTCTAGTGCTCCTAGGAGCCGTAGGCAAGCCTGAGTTTAGGGCGGTAGCCAATTATACTCTGTGATGGTGCGTGTACTTACGAAATTGTAGATGGCGCAGAACGTGAACATAACTTGATATGTAGGTACGTACTGTGTATTCTGAGTAGCAGATAGACACCAAATTGCTGTACAATTCCAGAATTGCCTAGACTTCAGGTTTGCTAACCTTCTGTTACACAGACCAGGAGGTAGCCTTTCCGTGTATTTGTCTTTCCTCTTCCATAACAAGGGAGTGCCATGGCTGGCTGGCAAAATTAGTTGCCTTGTGCACTTTATCTTTTCCATGTTCTTTTTCTTCATCTTCCAGGATGCTGCTGGCCATATCTGTCCTAGACTTCTTGTTACATTGGAATCAGATCTGTGTATGTTCGAAGAGGTCTTATTGTAAGCACTTAATTTTTACTCAGTCCTAGGAAAGGGTCAATCGACTATGACGGAAACTCTCCCTAGGTGTTTGCTTTTGCAACATTAAAAAAAAAATGCCTCGGTGCTAAAAGTATTTAATGATGCATGTTCACCACTAAGACACGCTACTGAATGGACAGTATTTCACTGGTAAGGGGCTGCATGTGCTTTGCATTGGAAATCAGGAGAATTTCCCAGAAAACAAACACCCATTGCTCTCATTTCAACAGTTAATCCACAAATATTACGCCGCAAAAATGAAGATTGGAAGGGGAAATATTTTCTATGAAAAACTCAGCGCTTTTGATATTTATATTAGCAAGAATATTCAGATGCTAAAAGTAATTTCGGAGAGAGATTAAAAAAATTTTTCAGATGAACTTTTCTTATTTCCTCTCCAAAAAGTTCACACCCTCGTATGGTGTTTTTAACATCGAGTTTTGAAGGTGTTGTCTTTGTCTGTGTTCTATTATTACATGTTAAAATGGAAGGAGAAAATATTAAAAAACAAAAGTAATTGCAGGGACATCTTAAACCAAAGGGGTGAATAAAAGCTGTTTAAATTTGTATCTAGAAATGAAAAATTAGAGTAATTGGTAAGGCTTTTTAGTGGGCATTTTCTTAAAATACTTACCTCTACCCCAACCCCAAATGTTAATTTAGAAGAACGCAACAGGTAGGCCAGCCTCTAACTCTTAAAGAAAATGTAATACTATGTCAAATGAACTGGATAGGGTCTTAGTGGAGTGCGTGTTCAGCCTGTGTGTGTTTTTGTGTGTAGAGGTGTGCTTGTGATGAAAGGGTGTTTTGAGTTGTTACATGAAGAAATTTGATTTTGTGATTTTTAAAAAGAATATTTATTTGGAGACCTTTAGGATAATTTAAAAGATG